TTCGTAGACTACGATGATCCTAAGATCAAGGACAACTTACCAAAGAAGCCAATGACTCTCGGTGAGCTACGCAAGAAGGCAGAGATTATGAACCAGGTTGTCTTTCCAGCTATTAACCAAAGAACACAACGCATTATTGAAGAGCAAGCAACGCGATTCAATAAGCATCACAAGATTACACACTTCAAAGTTGGTGATTGGGTTATGGTAAGACTTCCGCATAGAGAAAGCAAACTTGAGGCCGCTTATGATGGACCTTATCAAGTTGTTCAAAAGAAAAGATCTACATATGTGTTGAAAGACGATATGAATGAACTACTACATCGCGACTATGTGCCATCTGAATTGAAGCTGGTAGCAATCGACGAGTCTATCATCGAACAAGAAGTATATGAGGTTGACGAGATCAGAGCGCATCGTGGTCCTGAACACAATAGAGAGTATTTGGTAAAATGGAAGACATTTGGAGAAGCTGTCAACTCCTGGGAAACTGCTGCATCGTTCAACAACCCTCAAACCATTCGTAAGTACTGGGCAAAGATCAAGGAATACGAGCTGCTTGAGAAGAGAAGACAGGCACTAAATAGTGACACTGCTTCCTCCAAATCAAAGCGTAAGCGTGATGATTCTGACAAGCGTTTGAGAGGCTCTAAGAGACTCAACGTTGCAGAACAGTAAAGTGATGTTTGTCATGGGATATATCAGGGCAACATGCAAATTGCAGTAGCACCTTTAGACTATCACATTGCGTTATATCTTTGTCAGCGAATGCGAAATACAGATCATTGATCGTTTACATAATTCTTTGAATTAGTCAACATGCGTTGAAACTGGTGGGGGCAAATGTGGAATACATCCACTATGATCTGCATTCCGACAGTTCATCCAGTTACCAGATTTAGATATAAACTGTATGTACACTGGATTAGATGTACGATATCGATTTATACTATGATCATGAGAAGATATGGACTTCAGATACGCTAGTACTATAAGATTCATACTATATAAGATATAGGCTATAGATGGCACCACGGACATGGATGGCACTATAGACTTATACTTGTATTCCGACATTGACTACGGATGTTTACCATATCTGGATAGGCACCAAGATTAATGCAATATGAGCTTGTTGCTTCAGATGTGCACTTCATGATCCACGCTATAAGACACATGCTTATATCCGTGATACTAGCTACAGATACTTTATGTACTACAGACTTGTACTATATATGAGACATGCTATAGACATGCATACGATATGCTATAGACATGCCATATATCCAGATACATGCTAAAGATGTATGCTTAGCGATATACACTCAGATATGTACTATTAATATAGACTAAGAAGACTGTACCTATCGGATACATGCTACTAGATCGATATTAATTATCCTTATGGAAAGGATAGATCAGGGTACTTCGGATGAGAGTCTAATTATTCATCCAGACAGAGCTAAATCATGATTAGCTTGCTGGAGTTGTCTTTTAGCATGATTAGACATTAGTTGATCTGAGTTGACTTATTTGTCAATCTAATTAATAGAACTTTTATCCATTGTTATAGTATATAAGAAGGATCATCTACCTGGCCAGTAGAGAGACTTCAGTTTACTTTACACCTGTCAGTTTGATAATAAAATATACCTTTATCAAGTTGACATTACTGTTTTTTTTATTCTTTTTTTTCCGTGAATTTTAGTCTATCAAGCCTCAAATTCCACACTTAGTATAAATAGAATAACTCTTGTCTTCATCAATAAATCTGTAATGAAATAGCCACCCAAACGCAACTTAATTGAAAACCAAAGTTCATCAAATAGCACTCATTCAAATTCATGCTATTTGGATCTATTAATGAAAGCGCTCAAATGTACATCAAAAAACCCATTTAAAAATACTAAAGTAAAGATGCACGCTTATATCGCACATCGTGTGAATGAATCACTCCTGATCACAGTGTATTCAATCACACCCATGATGGTCGTAATAAGTGATGGTATCTTTATCCAAATAAAATCAAATCAATAACAAGCATATTCAAATATGACAACTATGCCCTGCTGCCATAGTTGCACAATATCCCAGATAAAGGATTCCATACTTCAGTAACAAACATCACACTTTAAACCATCAAGGTTACATTAAATCATGCTATGACGATAGCTCACCCAAGCCTATCAAAGTTACTCAAATCGACCCTTATGGCCAGTGCTCCTGCATTGATTACCACTTTAAATCAAACATCAACAACATTTGCCAGATATCGCAATAGCAGCACCTATTGCTCTCTATCATCACTAATCCTACAAGCTAGGTGCAAATGTATAAATACTCTTCTTTTTTTTTACTCAATTCCAGGATCTTCAGTTCATTTTATACACAAATAAAATACAGTTGATTTCTATTGTATTTTACTACAGTAGTCGCTCTATATAAGGCTACTTTTTTGGCGAGGTTTTTTTAGCCTTATTGCCCGCATAGCCTTAACTGGCGCGCGTGACTTCTGTCAAAAAAGTCGTGCGCGTAGAATCTATTACTATAATAGTTGATCAAATAAATCAACTTGATACCTCCCCAGTAACATTCATTTATCTGTTTATTTTACTTCTATTGAACGTAATATCCTATCATGTGCCTTAATCAAAGATCAAGAGATCGCCTCACAATCGAGCAAAAGTATCGCATTATTATGCACAACATGCACTTTCCTAATCTGACGCAAATGCAACTCGGTCAATGGGCTCAAAAGGAATTCAACCTTCATCACTCAGTCAAGCAAAAAACTGTATCGAACGTCTTGAATTCACAGGACAAGGTGATCAAAGCTTACGAAGGAGGAAATTTGAAGGGAAAAAGCAGCAGAGCCTTGACGATGCCACAATTGGACAATGACATTTTGGAGTACATTCAAGCCATGAATGCAAAATCTCTTCCTGTCAATCGTGGAACTATTGCAGCTTTTGCAAAAGTAGTCGCACACAGAAAGTACCGCATGCATGAATTGCCAAAGAATAAGCAAATCCATTTCTCAGATGGATGGCTAACCGATGTTTTCAAGAGAATTGGTGTCAAGTCAAGACATTTATATGGTGAAAAAAGCTCAGTCGACTTAACATCATCTAAGATTGTCGAAGAACTCAGAAAGATTGAAGAATTGTTGGAGCCATATGATCCCAAAGATATTCTCAACTTTGATGAAACTGGCTTATACTACGAGCAACAACCAACTCGCACCATTTGTCAGGAACCTTTAGGTGGTTCAAGGAAAAGCAAGAACCGATTCACAGTTGGACTAATCACCAACTATGATGGATCCTATAAAGGGCACCCCATTGTAATTGGGAAACGAAAGACACCAAAGGCAGCAAACAAAAAACCTGCTTTGTACAGAAGAACCACCAACATCGGGCAATCCCATTACGTGGAGTACCATTCATCTCCCAATGCATGGATGAACACCGACATCTTTAGGAAGTACGTAAAACGTTTGAATGCGTCTTTCGTTTACGCCGGAAGAAAAGTTGCTCTCTTGGTTGACAATGCTTCAGTGCATAAATTGAAAGAAGAATTCAGCAATATTAAGTTGATTTTCCTTCCAGCAAACACAACAAGCAAGTTGCAGCCTTTGGATGCCGGTAAATCAACAAATTTCATTGATATACGTACTCATCTCTAATCACACACTCGATAGGAATCATTGCGAACTTCAAGGCTCAGTTTCGTTGGCACCAATACTACAGGGCAGTGAACAAGTATCTTGCTGGGGTAAGCCTTGATCTTACCGAGGAATACAGAATGGATGAGGTGGATGCTCTGTATTTTCTTGCTGATTCTTGGATCAAAGTTAAGCCTCAAACAATCCAAAATTGCTGGGATCATACGAAGATCCTTGATTTTAAGTTTGCTCAGAGACAGAGAGTCGACTCGGAGGATGTACTCCCATCTTTCGAGCTACCTTTAGACGATGATCTAGTCAGCCAGTTGAACGAAATCATCCCTGAACTTCCTGGAAACAGAAGTAATGATGGGGTTCAATTGGTAACTGAAGTAAACGACTTGGATCTAAATGCAGATGAGTCTGATGCAATCGTTTTTAATCCCGTGATTGTTGAATTTGAGGATGGCGATGATGTTACCCATGGATCACAAGAGCTTGAGGTAGAGGAAGAACCAGTAGAGATTTACGATGTTGATACGAAGGAGATAAGAGAGAAGTTGAAGCATGCGTATGAAACTATCTTGTACCATACCATCCCAATGGATGAAAAAGAAAAGTCTATGCTGAAAACTATCCGTAGGAATCTGAACGATATCAGATCGGAGGAAGTAGCAGAGAAAAATCAAACAGATTTACGTGATTATTTTGTTTAAATGTGTTATTTTTCAATAAAAGCTATATATTTTTTATTATCTGATTGGCCTTAAATTCAATCTCAGCGATCACCACTATGAAATAAGGCTAAAATTTTTAGAATCTGTAGCCTTATATAAAATTAGGCTATTAAGGCTAAATAGCTGGTAAAAAAAAAAACCTGAAAAATTTCAGCCTTATTCCCCGCATAGCCTTATATAGGACGGCCTTATATAGAGCGACTACTGTATTGCTTTATTTTTTTTTTGTGAAATCCATTAAACCCGATTTCACTGCAATCCTTATAGAAAGGATAGATCAGGGTACTTTGGATGAGAGTCTAATTATTCATCCAGGCAAAAGCTAAATCATGATTAGCTTGCTGGAGTTGTCTTTTAGCATGATTAGACATTAGTTGATCTTGTTATGTCAAAATACAATGTAAAATTGAATCTGCCAAAGAATTACACTTTTATTGAGAATGCATCCCAAGGATGCATTTATATACTTTTCATTATGCTAGGGTTTACAGCATGATGATGAACTATAATACAAATAGGTTTACTATCTACCCAACAATTGATTTGTAAATCATGATTAGCATGATTTACCCAAAGGACCTAAGAATAGCCTAAAACCTTCAGTGTGAGACCTTGCTATGACATTTGATATAACAAGATTGACCAATAGGTAAATACAGTATGGGATCAGGGCGAGACACAGAAGGACGGCACGCACGAAGCAGGACATGTTTACCAGTAGCAGCAGCAGCAGCCAGTTGTTGATCCACCTGATCTTGCCAGAAGTCAGAGAAGTGAGCCTTGAGACCAGCAAATGAAGGGACAGGGTCAGGCAGAGATCTATACAAACTGTTTTCACAGATGTACCGATCCAGTCGAGTGTACGACAGAGCACCACGAAGAACCACCACAAGACTATCCTCAGGTAGAGTAGCAGAACGAAGAGCATACCTAGTTGCCAAGACATTATACCGATGTTTCATTGAAGGGAGACAGGTAATGTGCTTAGCAACGTTGAACCAGGAACCACCCACGAACATACCAACCAGCCGGTTTTGGAGCTTGTCAAGAGCCTCAAAGGTACGATAGTCAAGATGAGATATAGCGAGGCCATACTCAATCTTGGGTCTAACGAAAGCCTTGTACAGACGAGAACAGAGCAGCAGAGAGAAACCATTACGGTTGACACCAACAGAGTTCAGCAAAGCCATAACCTTGACAGCACCAGCGGACCGCAGAGACAAGATACTAGGAGCATGTAGCCCTTTATATCGAAATGGCATACCAAGGTACACAAACTCATCTACCACCGGCAGCGGCTCATTGTAGAGAGTAAGACGAGCATCAGAGAGGGCAGCAGGAGAACCGAGCACAGCACATTTAGGTGGCTTCCACCTATAACCAAGACAGACAGAGTGTTCAGCAGCAAGATCCAACATAGACTGGACACCAGACAAAGACCCAAAGATAGCAACATCATCGGCAAAGAGCAAGCTATTGATGGCAATAGGACGACTAGCACCAGGAGGACTGACCATCGTAGCACCAGTATCAACAGAACGCAAAAGATTCGGTAAGGAATTGATATACAACGAATACAAATGAGGACTGAGTACTGAGCCTTGAAGTACACCAGTAACAGGAGAGAAAGCAGCAGAGGTATGATTAGCAATCAAGACTGAGACTGAGACATCGTCAAACATGTTCATCAAAAGACCCAGAACAGGACGAGGAAGTGTAGAACCAGACAGGGCTTGCCATATAACCCTACGATCGACAGTATCATAAGCAGACTTGATATCCAAGAAAGCCACCACTGTTGCATACAAGCATGCATCTTAGGCTACATTCACTTTCTCCTCAAGCCACCTTTTACAGTGTAGCAGCATAGATGATGTTTATCGTATCACATCACATCTATGTTTACAAGTCCAGTCAATTGTGTGTGCACAGGTGCCTCAGGAACTACAATACATTCAATCTCCCCAATTTCAAGATATCGAGATCCACCTACACTACATGAAACATATCGACTTAGGTGGCCTCTCAACAAGCTATACCAACAATCCATAAGGCCCCAGTGGCCTGCTATTTATATACCATCTCAACGTAGTAGTCATTGACCAGGGATCTACCATATTTAAGCAAGCTAGATGCCCTGTAATAAAGAAGCTCTTTGCTTTCGTTTTAGATACAGTTGACAACTGATTATTATCATCGACTTATTATTACGAATTCATCAACCACAGGATAGCGACGGTGAGTCAGAAAGTAATCATGCATCAAGTCATGCAAGCAGAGGGCTTGATCCAGAGGACTACGTTTAGGACGGAAGCCACCTTGAGCAATATCCAGAGCAGGGGAGTGTTCATCCAGAGCCGGCATGAGACAGAACTCAAACAACTTACGCACCACCGAAGTGAGCGAAATTGGTCGATAATTACCAGGATCGGAAGCATCACCCTTCTTGAAAATCGGAAACACCTGGGCTTGGCGCCATAAACCAGGAGTATAAGACCATTGATAGCAGAGGTGAAACAGCAGAGAGAGCACTGGGGCAATTTCTGAGGTCAGAGCTTTTAACATCTCAGCCTTGATATGGTCAGGACCAGGAGCTTTGTGAGTCGGCAGACGTTTAATACACAGTACCAAGGTATCAGTATCAAACAGAGACATGTCCGCAGGGAGACAGAAAGGCAAGTCAGAGACCATAGGGGTGACAGGAGCAGGACGAGAAGCAGTATTTAACAGAGCACCTTCGTAGACCGTAGCCAAATGAGAGCCCATAGTAGCAACAGAAGCAGCAGGACCATCTGGGTGACTGTACGTAGGTGAAGACTCTTTATTGCGCTTGATGCGTTTTATAGCAGCAGTAGCTTTTGAGAAGTCTCTTTCCAGAGCACCACAGAACTTATGCCAGGACTTGCGCTTAGCAGACTGTACCAGAGAGCGAAAACGGCGATGAGCTTGCTTGTATAAGACCCAACAATCAATCTTAGTATACCCAAGGGCATACCGCCATCGACCGTAGAGACGATCCCGTTCAGTAGCAGCGTCTTGGATCTCTTGCGTCCAGTATTTCTTCCAATGGCCAGGACGGCCAGACTTCACACCTATTGAGCTATCCAAACATTCATACAAACATTGGTTCAAAGAACCGTTGAGTGCATCAATGTCGGGACGAGTACCAGGAGGAGCAGACACCAAACCAGAGAGAGTAACAACCAGAGGAGCAACAGAAGATCGAAAGGATTCACGGAGTAGGCCCAAAGGCCTCTCTTTCGTCAATTTCGAGAGCTTCCATTGCCGCCTAGGAGCCAGAACAGAATCACCAGGAGCCACAGTGTCATCGAGAGGTGGCACATACCCGAAAGTAAGTGACATCAATCGATGGTCAGAACCAAGAGACAGATCAGACTCAACCACCAGTTGAGGGTTCACCAAAGCAACATCACCAATATTTGTCAGAAACAAATCGATAATACTACTCAATTCTTGCTGCTGCCGAAAAGAAGAATAAGTCTTGACACCAAAAGCCAAAGACGCATTAAGCACAGATAAGCAATGTTCGTCAAACCAAGGTTTGAGAGCATTACTACGAGCATTGGAGATAGCATCACCAGTCAGAGGACCCAACCGAGCATTGAAATCACCGCAGAGAATAGTATCCCTAGTCATAGGTAATGAGCTGAGGGCCGAGAGCACCTTATCAGAGGATAAGGGTGGAGGAAAGTAAACACAATGAACCGTTAGGGTGCCAACCTTGAGAGACAGAGTGTGCGGATTGTATGAAGGGAGTTGGAAGACCGTAAAGGGGCAAGAAGGAGAGACAAAAGCAGTGATACCACCAGAACCACGGTTGAAAGCACCAGGTACTTTTGAACCATACAAGTGGTATTGAGACCAGTCAATCGGATAGGAACCAGAAGTGAGCCAAGTTTCAGTGACAAACAGAACATGAGTATCAACAATATGAGAAATAACATCATGAACTGTTGTTTGACGAAGACCATTCGCATTCCAAAGAGAGAGAGAGACAAAAACCGGGGGGACAGACACATTATTCAAATTACCAGACCATGATTCATTGTTAAGAGACATTAGATCTCCATTTCAGAATCAGTAGAAGTATCACGGCGACGCTTGAACAAGAAAGCAGCCTTTTTAGGGTCCTTTTCCTTTAGTCGGTCCATAGCACCAGCAACAGCCTCGTCCAGTTCGGCTTGACCTATCCATCCAAGATCCAGGAACCAACGGCCAACACTACTCACATTAAGTGGGCGGATATGGGACAGAGCATCTACGCTGCGAGCATTGACCATCTCAGCAATGAGATCCATTCGATCGTGTTCAGAGTAGGCATCGTATTGTGGGTCGGCAATATTAGCAGGATTCAACGGGTCAAAATCCTCCAATATTTCCGATTCACTTGCACGGAGCAGAGCCAAGAATTCAGCAACATATTGGGTATGCAAGAGAATACCAATAGCTTCGGAGGCAGGGAAGTTGATGTCGAGGATACGAGAAGTATCCACCCCAATGGCCTTGAGAGTGCGTCGAATTTCAGAGCGTAAGATCTTTCCAGATCTACCAATATATACATATTGATATCCTTGGGGACCCTTAGTAGCAGACGTTTTGAAGAGACGACCGGCAGCCAACTTTCTCTTAGTAGCTTTAGTTGGATCAGGGCGATGCGCAGCCTTCTTAGCTATAGCAGAATAGCTAATAGTACCAGAATCAGTGGTGGCAGTAGCAGAGGTGGTGGATCCAGATGCCCCCTTGATGGGGGTGCTTGTAACAGAATCCTGTGACGTGGCTTGCAATTTTTCAATGACCAGATCCTTGTCGTGTAAAATTTTTTTCAAGGCTTGGTTTTCCTTTTCCAAAGCATCGAGACGAGCCAAAATACCATCATGTTGATTAACACGTTCAGAGAGTGAGGCAAGTTGTTGTTGTAACTGTTGCATGATAACAGTAACCTGATTCATATCAGTTGGGTGCTGAAACTCGGGCATATTGCTGATTATTTTTTAGAAATTGTTGATCCAAAAAAATATGAAGGAGATGTTCAATAAACTTGAAACTATAACACAATAGACAGAGACTAAAGGCAAGTATACTGGTATAGTTTTGGAGTTGATTGAGTTGCTGATTGTTGGGAAAATAGCGTTTTTCGTGATTCTAAGGAGACTTTTTACGGAGAAGGTGTCAAAAAGTGATGAAAAACGTGTCAGGGTTGCCTAGCTAGCTCAGTTTAAAGATTGTTTTTATTTATAAGAAATTTAATGGGCACTCGATGTGAGCATAGCCTAACTTCAAGAACAAATATAGAGCAAGTAACTAAAAAAACCCCTCCAGAGCACTTTCAAAGGGACAAAAAATGCAGTGACAAGAGTACAGGACATGGAGACTAGTGGTGCTCACATTGAGGATCTCGAGGGACAACCAACGGATGGGAACTTTGATAATGACTTACCACCGAGGAGCCGCACGTAGAAAACAACAATGGAACATGTTCATCCCTGTCAGATCAACCAGTACTGGAGTACCAAAGAGACGCTGGATCTGGATCCGGAGCAATGACAGCCAGAGGATGCACAAGGCAATCGATAGCATACAGGAGGTTCAGTAGAGCAGGCCAGAAATCAGGAGGACCGGCAGAGGCATTAGTGGGCAAGCAATTAAGAGCATGGTCAATACGGTGCACACCAGGTGGAGCAGGCGGCAAGGCATCGATCAAGGCAGGATCAAGAGCACGACAGTACATAAAGTGATCACGAGAGATGTAGACACCTGCAGGTGACATACAGGGACACTCCTCACGCATGTTAGTAAAGCGGCCAAGACGCCAGCGGACCAAACGACTACAGGCAATACGACCAAGAGGCAGATAGAGTATGGGATCAGGCCTTGTGGTATCAGGACGACAAGCACGAAGCAAAGTATGACGACCAGTGACAGCAGCAGCAGAGAGCTGGAGATCAACCTGATCTTGCCAATAGGCAGCAAAGGTAGTGCGCAAGCCAGCAGAAGAAGGAACAGGGTCAGGTAGCGACTGATACAGAGGGTTTTCACATATAAAACGAACCAACCTTGTATAGTGCAAATGGGCACGAAGTAGAACCAGCAGACAATCGTCAGGCAGAGTATCAGCACGCAGAGCAAAACGGGTAGCCAGGACATTGTAGCGATGTTTGATACTGGGGAGACAGGTAATGTGCTTGGCGACATTGACCCAAGTACTACCCACAAACATGCCAACAAGTCGGTTTTGCAGAGTATCCAGAGCAGTGAAATCACGAGCAGAGAGATGCGAGATGGCCAGACCGTATTCAAGCTTAGGACGAATAAATGTCCTGTACAAGCGAGAGGAGAGCAGCAAAGAGAAACCATTGCGGTTGACACCAACAGAGTTTAACAGAGCCATGGTCTTGACAGCACCAGCAGAACGCAGAGACAGAATACCAGGAGCATGCAGGCCTTTGTATCGGAATGGCATACCAAGGTATGTAAATTCGTCAACGACAGGCAGAGCTTCATCGTATAGTACCAGAGGAGAGCCAGCAAGAGCAGCAGCAGTACCAAGCACAGCACATTTGGAAGGCTTCCACCTATATCCAAGAGAGACAGAATGACCAGCAGCAAGATCCAACATACGTTGAACCAAAGACTTTGAACCAAAGACAGCCACATCGTCAGCGAACAGGAGACTATTGATAGCAATAGGAGCATCAGCACCAGGCACAGGCAGCATAGTAGCACCAGTAACACCAGAACGCAAAAGACTCGGTAAAGAATTGATATACAACGAGTACAAGTGAGGACTGAGCACTGAGCCTTGCAGAACACCAGTGACAGGAGAGAAGGCAGTCGAGTTGTGATTAGCAATCAAGACAGAGACAGACACATCATCAAACATGTTGATCAACAGACCCAGAACAGCACGAGGAAGACTAGAACCAGCCAAAGCAGACCAGATAACACGACGATCGACTGTGTCATATGCTGACTTGATATCCAAGAAAGCGACAACAGGACGACGACGGTGCGCAACAAAGTAATCATGCATCAAGTCATGCAAGCAGAGGGCTTGATCCAGAGGACTACGTTGAGGGCGGAAACCACCTTGGGCAATGTCAAGGGCAGGAGAATGGGCATCCAGCTCAGGCATGAGAGAGAACTCAAACAGTTTGCGCACAACAGAAGTCAGAGAAATAGGCCTATAGTTGGCGGGATCAGAAGCATCACCTTTCTTGAAGATGGGGAAGACTTGGGCATGACGCCAGAGAGCAGGAGTATACGACCATTGGTAACACAGAGTGAACAACAGAGACAACACCGGAGCAATCTCAGAGACCAAGGACTTGAGCATCTCAGCTTTAATATGATCTGGACCAGGAGCTTTATGTGTTGGGAGCCGCTGAATGTGAGATACAAGAGTATCAACATCGAACAGTGACAAATCCACAGGCACACAAAAAGGCAGAACAGAGTCAAAAGTGGGGGGAGCAGCAGGACGAGTAGCAGTGGCAAGCAGAGAGCCATCATACACCGAAGCGAGATGAGAACCCATAGCAGTGACAGAAGCAGCAGGACCGTCGGGATGACTGTAGGTAGCAGAAGACTCTTTGTTACGCGTGATGCGCTTGATAGCAGCAGTAGCTTTTGAGAAATCCTTTTCTAGAATACCACAGAACTGTTTCCAGGACCTTCGCTTTGCAGCTTGCACCAGGGAGCGAAACTTGCGATGCGCAATTTTGTATAAGGACCATTTTTCAACTTTGACAATACCAAAGGCATGCCTCCATTGACTATAAGAGTGATCACGTGCAGTAGCAGCATCCTGAATTTCTTGCGTCCAGTACTTCTTCCAATGGCCAGGACGACCAGATTTCACACCAATGGAACTATCCAGAGATTCATACAAACATTGATTCAAAGAATCGTTGAGTGCATCAATATCCGGACGAACACCAGGAGGAGCAGACACCAAACCAGAAAGAGTACCAACCAGAGGAGCAACAGAAGATCGAAAGGATTCACGGAGTAAGCCCAAAGGCTTCTCTTTCGTCAATTTCGAGAGCTTCCATTGACGCCGAGGAGCCAGAACAGAATCACCAGGAGCCACAGTGTCATCGAGAGGTGGCACATACCCGAAAGTAAGTGACATCAATCGATGGTCAGAACCAAGAGACAGATCAGACTCAACCACCAGTTGAGGATTCACCAAAGCAACATCACCAATATTTGTCAAAAACAAATCAATGATACTACTCAATTCTTGTTGCTGCCGAAAAGAAGAGTACGTTGTAACACCAAAAGCCAAAGACGCATTGAGTACAGACAAGCAGTGTTCATCAAACCAAGGTTTGAGAGCATTACCACGAGCATTAGAGATAGCATCACCAGTGAGAGAACCCAACCGAGCATTGAAATCGCCACATAGAATAGTATCCCTAGTCATAGGTAATGAACTAAGGGCCGAGAGCACCTTATCAGATGATAAGGGTGGAGGTAAGTATACACAATCACTACGGCGAAAACCTTGGTGCAAATACACCAAGTTTAGAGCAAAAGCACCAAGACTTAGATCATTTGCACCAAAATTGGGGTTTTGAAGGTGCATTGGATTTTTTTTCAATAAAGAATTATCAGTGGTATCACAAAAAATGGAGGTACATCAAATGCTTAACCATTTGAGGAAGTAAGGACAAAATATATTACACAAAAACACATTTTTTTGAGTATATAAAACTTTGAAATAAAGATTGCAGCACGTATAGTTTGTTATAGCCTAACGAAGGTTTCAAAATCTATCTATAAACATATGTAAAAAGAAGCAAATTAGGCATATTTTTCGAGTAAATGTCAATTTATGAATTCCCAAAGGGTCATCGGGTGCTCAAGAATAATAATACGATTGCCCAATGTTTCCTCTTCTTATACATCTAGTTTGTTATATACGTTTCCGGAACAAATCTAAAGAGAATGGCCTCTAAACACTTTATCTCGCAGTTGAAAATTGATTGTTGCACATGCGGTGTTCAGGATAGTTTTTTTTGTGTTTATCAAGGTGTCTAGTTCTTATATAGCTTTTTTGTTCTGCATGTTTAGGCAGGAAATTAAGCACAATATCAATATCTAAAGTTTTTCTCGGTTTTTTCGTAATACCTTCCTATGTGTACAATTGAACGGCAGATCTATCACTATTCTATCAAAACTAAGAGAGATCAAGTAAACATTCATTGAAGAATACCGTATAAACCATGAAGGAAAGGGGAAAACTGAAATTTATCAGAATCATATTTGCGTTGGATCTTGAAAGTCTTTTGTATTTAAAATACCGCTTCAAAGTAGGAGCTAGCAGCGTATTCAGCGCTAAAAGCAGTAGGAAACACCTATTTGATGCTAAAAGTGGTAAAAATCATCTTAGAGATACGGGAGAAACAGCTCAATAGAACCTTTCCGGTTTACAAGAGCAAAAAGATTGTTGTGGGCGGAATTTTAACCATCGTGGCCCTTGTGTTTCGTTGATATTTGCAAAAAATCAGTGTTCAAAGCCTTAAGTAATAGTAGGACGAGGGGAAAACAGAAGGAAGAATTCAATAAAGAATGGAAGGTGAGGGAGACGGCAAAAAAGAAGACATTTGTCGGAATCTGTTTTGTATACACGCTTAGGTTTTAATAGCAAGGGTGAGACATAAAAGCATTGGCAATTGAATGAAGGAAAAATAGGAATTTCATACAATTTTAAGATGCCATTGTCTGGTAACAGTGCTATTCGCACTAGTGTTTTACTCAAGTTAAGGTTGGGGCACCTACTCCGCAATTAATGGTGCTTTTCGGCACATACTAAAGGAACTGAGCGTTGTGTAGTGAGATGAATGGGATGTCTTTGATGTCAGAAGCTAAAAGGGAAGAAGCGAAGAAGAGGAGAACGACATCATGAAGCTGAATGTCTGTTAACTTGTTGGGGGTAATAATACGATGATAAAATCTATATTTATCTTTATTATTGAGGTAGCACAAATGAGTTTTTTCCAGGTTTATAAGTCTCTATCGAGGCCCGGAAAACCTTTTCCTTCGTTATCACTTTATATCTCTTGTCATTCTCGCTAAAACGCATCAGACCAACTTGGCAAATGACCTGCTCAAATGTGCACACCAGATATGCGGATGAATCCTGGTCATCATCCAGCTCCACTATGGGCATCGTCTTGTCTTTGTCGTCAACAGCATGAGTCTTTCCTAATCGAATAAGCAAGAACAACTCATCGCCAATCCCCTCAATTTCGAGCTTGAACATGAAAATAACAGCCCCTACATAGAAAGCTTTGACCTTGCGACGAGAGTTACTGTAGGAAATTCAGACGTCAATGTGGGTTTTGATGAGTAACGATAAAGGCAATAATGAACCTGTGAATTGGCATACCTCAAGTGTTCTGCCCATACCATGATGTAGTGGCTTCCTCTAGAATTAGCACCGGTGAGATCGCGATAGTATTCTGAACGATAAGTGCAGTTGTAAGCCCAGGCACTTCCAGAGACGACAATATCCAGTTGATCATTGATATGGACATTCTGCAGAACATTAGTTGAGTATTGCCGGTCGTAGTAGGACTGTATAGCCTTGACAAAAAGAGGTGTGTTGACGTTGATGGAGGTTGGGATACTTGAAACCGTTGTGTGGATGACTGGATACCAGAGCTGACTTCCGTTGCCATTGTCATTCTTTAGATTTACGAAGGTAGTTGGATCGTATCGTCGAGGCACTAAGAGATTGATTCGAGCATCCAGATCATTCAGTTTGTCTTCACCATCGCCTGTACCATCACCAGTTGTAGATGCCTTGATGGCTCGCATAATTGCCAAACGATCAATGATGTTTCCGGCATTTATACCAACATTTGTGCGAGCACTTATCAAGCGTTTGTACCTGCCGATGGATCTTTCGATAGATCGACTGGAAGTCGAAGCCGGTAAACCTTGCGCTTTGATCATGTAAGTCAAGTGTCCTAAATAATGGGCGTTTGGTCGAAAGGTCTTGATAGGAAGGCGTTTGGTTTTGATTTCAGTGATCAGCAGTTTGTGCCAATCGTTAACCTTACTGTGCAGAGATAGAAAGAAGTAAGTTTTTAGTCTGTGGATAAAACGGGTTTTGTTATTCAAGATGCCAATACTTACGCTTCTATGAATTGTAAGTCTGAAGCATGCAATTCATTCTTCTGCAATACCAAAGCTGCCACTTTAACGATACCCAGAAGAGGTTTTCTGATTGAGTCAGGATAGTGTGGTGCTATCAGGGCTGGAACAATGAAAATCATGAACTCTTCATAGTCAACTGCTCGGTAGTTGGTAACTCCTCCTGGTGCAAAAATGTCGTTGAATGGTGCATTGAAGGTAGTTGGAATGGTCTTCTTTGACTGAGCCACATACTGACCGATCTTTGCCAGAACTTTGGGATCTAAATCAAAGGTGTAAGGCCAGGCACTTGCTTTATCAAGCTTTGCTTCTTTCAGTTCTTCGATAGAGGGCTTGTATCGGTTATCAAACTTGGATGGATGCAATGGAGAAGACAAGAGCTCGTACAAATGCTTAGCTAATCCAATGCTCAGTAGGTGAAGTGTGTCGAGACCGTAGAACGATGGGTTGGCAGGAAAAGACTTGAGAGTGGTAAATATGGATGGTCCTTTGATGTTCTATAGAAGAGATGATGGTTGGTACAAGAACTATACATGATTGTTTAATGAAATCGCTTCACTTACAAACACATGTTTTACGCCAACAGGCAGTGGTGCTTTCAGTTGTTCGAGAGTTCTGTATTGGAAATTTCTGATTGTGCGAGTAAAGCATTGGCCTCCTTGTGTGTCTATGAGGCACTTCATACAGCCAAACTGACTGGAGACTCCTCCATGCAACATCAAATGTGATACTTCTACAAGATCGCCTGTCGCCATTGCCAAATGAACGCTTACTCGGGCAACTTCACCACCATTCACTCGAACCAGCATGCCATGTTCACTAAGATCACGAATTTCGTCCACAAAAATAGCCAAGTAGCTTTCAAGATCCACTGGAGCCTTCTTGCCGGGTGCAATCATTGTCTGAACGGTCCAGTCATCCAAGTATCTGTGGGTTGGTAGACATAAATGCAATATCGTTGGTGGTTAGAATCCGGTACTAATTGGATATTATACCCATACAAATAGAGATAACTCACCTGAGGTGTGGAGGGGCTGACAAAATTACAACGTGGAATAGCGTTAAGGTATCGCCAGCAAAAGAGTTGCTTTGGGGTTTGAAGCCGTCGACATACAAGGCAAGCAGAATAGGTTCCTCATCTACGTTGGTGCCATGTCTTTTCCGTCTTTGTTGAAAGTTAATGTACTCTTGACCGTCAAAGTAGTCTCGGTAAAAATGTGGATCATGTTGGTAGTTACGTCGATACGACATGAGCTCATCTCGTTTGGACTTGTCACTCAAGACTCTTGCTAGCTGATCACCGATGCTCAAGACCTTCATATTTTGTGCTTCGCTTTTGGGAGTTCCACAGTGATTGCACACTCCTTGGACTGATGTATCGTTCTTGGGATAAACTTTGCAGCCTTGAGGACAGACCTTGTAGATGAATGCTTGTACGCCAGTCTTCTTTCTCATGCGCGCCTCTAGAGTATCGAACTGAATCAGCTTTGGAAACACAATGCCTTTGTGCATTAAAGGGAGATGTCAATATGGTGAGTGCGTTTGAAGATACAATGCATAGTGGTATTCATATGCTTACCTCTTTCAGTGCCACCTCCTGCCTCTGCTATATTCTTAATGATTGTATTTGTAAAGTATATACTTTCACGACTCATTTCTCTCGATGCTGGATACTTGTCGAATATGTCACGGAGCTTCAATGAAAGCAATTCACTTTCATTAAAATCAGTGGCGTAAGAGAGGGTGTCAAGATCATATACATGTCGAAGGCCTTCCTTTTGTTCAAGAGTGAAGCTACTGTAGTATGAAAAGGACTCAATTGATGGCACTTAGATGGGAGTTAGAACGGTACGTCATGCATTGCTTATAGTTCACACAACTCACGTTCTATTCTTTGCTCTGCAGCATGCTGCTGTAATGACTGATTTCCTTGATTACTTGCGGTAGCCGTTGGAGTATCGTCTTGTGAATGCATGCTTGCCTGGGATCGTTCTTGACTATTCGATAAGGGAGTGTCTTCTGTTCTTGCTTTCTTGGGCTCGCAAAAAGTCGAGTTTGCATAGTGGGTCCTCAATGCTCTAGCAGAATTGTAAGGCATGTGGCACTTTTCGCAGTTTCCTGAAACTCGTCGTGCAGGCATTTTGAGAGGATAAGGTGATGTATAAATGAATGACAACAAGACCAAAGTGATGTGTAGTGAAGCTTAAATAGTAGTTTGATCGTCTCTGTGGTACATAGTAGCACCTATGACTAATAGTGATTTTTGACTCTTCAAGTTGCACAAAGGTGTCGGTTGTGTCTCAATGTTTGGATGTTTTGCTACTGTGAGTTTAAAGATGATTGACAGTTGACATTACACGAACTTACAGTCGCGTTATTACAGAGGGTGCTCAATTTGAACTGACTTAATGACTCATGAAGACT